ATCTCTAGTTCCTCTACCTCTTCGAAACCCAGCTTGTACTTCTGGCAGTTCTCTATCCACGTACTGTTGAAGCCTAGTTTGTAGTATCTTGAGCATGACCTTGCTAGCGTGTGATATGAGTGCAATTGCGCGATAGTTTGAACATTCCTTGGCATTGCCCATCTTTGGGATTGGAATGTATACTGACCTTTTCCAATCCTGTGGCCACTGTTGTGTTTTCCAAATTTGCTGGCAAATTGAGTGCAGCACTTTAACAGCATCATCTTTTAAGACTTTGAATAGCTCAGCTGGGATACCATCACCTCCACTAGCTTTGTTGTTAGTAATGCTTTCTAAGGCCCATTCACATTCCAGGATGTCTGGCTCGAGGTCAGTGATTATACCGTCGTGGTTGTCAAGGACATAGAGGTCTTTCTTGTATAGTTCTTCTGTGTATTCTTGCCATCTTTTCCTAATCTCTTCTGCTTCTGTTAGGTCCCTACCGTTTTTGTCCTTTATCATGGCCAGCTTTGCATGGAACGTTCCCTTGATTTCTCCAATTTTCTTGAAGAGATCTCTAGTCCTTCCCATTCTATTGTTTTCCTCTATTACTTTGCATTGTTCATTCAGGAAGGCCTCCTTATCTCTCCTTGCTGTTCTCTGGAAGTCTGCATTCAGTTGGGTAAATCTTTTCTTCTCGCCTTTGCCTTTTGCTTTCCTTTTTTCCTCTGCTATTTGTAAATAGCTACTACACTACTCGCTTGTAAAAGTTAAAATAATTTATGAACAAATTTAGCACCAGTCTCAGCCCTTTGCGGGACCCCACTGCACACTTCCCTCCATTGCAAGAACTGTCTATTTATTCCTACTCACTGTTTTCTACCATTTTACCAACTTTTAATCCAGAAGAGGGTCTATCCTATTATTCCTTAACTTAAAAGATTATTTAGTAGTCTTTGGTGAGGTACCTTGACAAAATCCTACTTTTTCTACTCCCACTCAGTTTAGCCTGCCTTGTACTCCTCTGCCCTCTGCTTCCTCCATCTGTCTCTGTTTCTGTCAATTGCCTCATATTCCTAACTTCCTCAAATATTAACAATCCCTGCTTCCCCATGCTATTTCCTTCGCCTTCTGATTGCATCGAACAAGCTGGCCCTTGCTTTGGATCCTGCTTACTCCCCACTTCATCTAGGCAGCTTCACTCTTCCGTTGGGTTACTTCTGTGGCACTTTTCTTTGCATCTCCAGTATGAGTCAACTCTGAAACGGCTACCACTAGTCAGAGATAGGACTTTTACAGTTATGCACTTTGTTCAAGGGCTGCTCTGATCAGAAGTACTCAATCTTAATTATTCCGTCTTCTTGTCCTCTTTCCTTCCAGCACCAGCAGTTCCTTAGGAGAAGATGCATTTGGAAGGCATTCCCGCCTAAGCATCAGTGCTTTCCTAACCACATCAGCTTCCCATCCCTTTCCTCTCTTCAACTCTCTCAACCATTCACAGCTACTAAATACTTCAGGAAACATTAATACAGGTACATAAACAATCCATACAAGACATTTCAAAATGTTAAATAAAAAGCAAAAGTGTACATATGTACATCACTCTCATATACTAAAAACACACTATCAGCGACAGAGCATGCTTAAAGTGTTGCTGCTGCCGCTGTTGTATTACGCAGTTTGTTTCCCGCATTTGGGGAAATCGCAGGGGTCAGCACACACGGAGTGCAATGGATGAGCCTCACCCTGGGAAACCCACCTGCATGATCATGGTTCTGTAAAATCTGTAAAAATCCTATCTAGGACTATCGATGTCAAAAAGACAAAAGTCATACCTCAATTCCAGCAGGTTTTTTAACAGTTGACGTAAGAGGAGTTGTCCGAGGCACTGTTTTCACAGGAGCTGCTAGTACTTTAAGTACCTGCGTTCCAGGATTCTTTATAAAAACACAATATTGATTAAAAGTAACAATCTCAGGTAAAGGGCAAGTACACTTCTCCTCTACAAAAACATTTCAGGGCTGTTCTTTGTGTACTGGAAGTTGGGAATATGACAGATTTGCATGGGAAGGTATCCATAGGTATGCATAGCAGTGTAAAAGACATGGCAACTTTCAGGGGTTTCAGTCTACAGTAGTACACACTTATATTCACATGTACCATCATAAATCCACTACTAAGTTAACAGCTGGACGTATCACAAGGTAAGGACACAAGCCCCTTAAGGTACAGACAATTATGCAACTGGTCCCAATAAAAAAAATTTCAAAATATTTAAGCACTCCCCCCTTCCCAGTCAAGATGTGCTAATAAAATGGCAAGGCCATCCTAAAGCTAAGGTAGATCCACTTCATTTACAAGCCAACATGCAAAGAAGTGATAAGACAGCACTCCAAGCCTTACGGAAATAAGTAATAAGAAGAGCATTTTGACATACACTGTAGTTACTGCTGAAGTATTACCTGTACAGTCCTTATTTTGACTATAGGTGCATTTGCAGGCAACGACTGCCTTAGACTTGTATTATTTGGGGCCTGGCCTTGGGCTTGCACAGGTGCTTGTTGAGACACCAGCATCAGCTGGCCAGTGTTACTTCTCAGAAGAACTGTTCCTACAAAAAACAAACACTACATTAGATTCTGTGAAGAGCACTACATATGATGAACCAACATCCTTTACATGATGCAATGTACTAAACTCAGAGAATGAGTGCTGTTGCCTCTTGCCTAGTACTTCCAAAATACTATGATATGCCTACCACTTTTTGCAGCATTTTCCATTTAGTAACAAGTACTTAAATAAGCATATTCAAGAATCAATGAATCCAATTCACAGTGAATTTGCTCACTAGTCTTGGCACTCACAGCTCTCCAGAATACAGATTCTATACTTAAGTATTATGTAGCAAAATCTGCTTGCCTTATTAACCAGTCTGAACAAGCTGGATGACACAAAGGAGGGGGAAATCCCACTCCCCATTGGCCCATCTTCCTCCCTCTGTTCCATCTTACTTTGTCCCACCCTCCACCTAGTTTCACACCCCCCCCCCGCTCTTTTCTTTCTCCATCCCTTGGTAATGCACCTGCCTAATCTTACTTTCCTTTTGCCCCTCACTAAACTGCCCAATCCTATCCTCTTACCAGTGATTCCCCAGTCTCACTCTGGCCCCTGCTTCCACCCTTCTTGCTCTGCCTCTGCTTTCAAGCCTCCTTCTCTAGCTTTTCTTCAGGCCTCCTTCTCTAGATTTCCTCCTACCTTCTCAACATCTTCTTCCCCTGCTCAGCCACCCAGTTTACACCCCCCAACTATCTGTCCCATTTGACTTCACCTGCCTGGTGTGTCTTAACTTGTCCTCTTGCTGATCCTGCTTACACCATTACCCTTTGCTTCTTGACTGCCAGGCACCATTGGTAGTTGTTCTGGCAACCAAAAATGACTTCTATGCATGCAGAGACATTGGTTTTACTGTTGGGAGGGTTAGCTACCAACTTTCTTTACCCTACAAATCTAGAGTTTCCCTTGGGTTTACAGATGGAGGAAGAGGAGGAGGAGATTGGATTTATACCCCACGCTTCACTTGGAGTCTTCCCCTCCCCACAACGGACACCCTGTGAGGTGGGTAGGGCTGAGAGAGCTCTGACACAAACTGCTCTTTCAGGAACAGCTGTGCCAGAGCTTGTGACTCATCCAAGGTCACATCAGCAGGTGCAAGTGGAGGATAGGGGAATCAAAGTGCCCACAGGCAAAAAAAAGGTTGGGAAAGCTTGAATGAAGATGAATGACCTGGATATATAAGCACTATAAAACCTGGCTTGGTAATATTATAGTGAAGGAGAAGAAGGAGAAGAAGAAGAGATTGGATTTATACCCCGCGCTTCACTTGGAGTCTCAGAGCGGCTTACAAACGCCTTTTCCCTTCCCCTCCCCACAACAGACACCCTGTGAGGTGGGTGGGGCTGAGAGAACTCTGACACAAACTGCTCTTTCAGAAGCAGCTGTGCCAGAGCTTGTGACTGACTCAAGGTCACATCAGCAGGTGCAAGTGGAGGAGTGGGGAATCAACCCCGGTTCTCCCAGATTAGAGTCCGCACACTTAACCACGTCCGCACACTTAACCACTACGCCAAACTGTACACCCCAATCCTGAAGATTTTTAAAAATCTACATGTGTGTGCGATGGACAATACTTGAGTTTTAGATCCACAGTTTGAGGGGAAGTGATCTACAGTAGCTTAGTGGTAGAGTACACTGCTTTCTGTGCAGGTTCAAAGTTCAAATCCTGGCAACTCTGAAAGGATTCCAGGTACCATGTGTTAGGATAGAATTATCTCTGCCTGAGAACTAAGTCAGGGTAGTTGAACCAACGGTTCCACATGTTCAAATATTTTAAGTTATCCAAGATCTCAACAGACAATTTGTTGTGTATTTCCCAGACTTCTGAGGCCATATCTGTATCTACCCATTTCTACACAACCAAAAGCTCTTCTTCCTTGCCCTGGAAAATGTATGCTGCTCATTCTACCTGTGCACTCCACAGTACTCTGAATTATTTAAAGCACCTTGATAGGGCACATATGTACTGGAAGACCTCTTTGTGTTCATGTACCAGACCGCAATCCTGCAGTTTCCCCACATTAAGCAGCAGTTTGCAATCCTCAGCAGCTTCACTGGTGGGAAGGCAGCATTGTAGTGGTGTAATTGTTAGGAATAGCAGACTCTGATCTGGAGAACTGGGTTTGATTCCCCAGTCCTCCACATGAAGCCAGCTGGGTGACCTTGAGTCAGTCACAGTTCTCTCAGAACTCTCAGTCCCACCCACCTCACAAGGTGCCTTTTGTGGGGAGAGGAAGGGAAGGAGCTAGTACGCCACTTTGAGACTACTTAAGAGAAAGCAGTGTATAAAACCAATTCTTCTTCTATATCTGACCAGACATCACCAGGAACATTCAAATAAACCTCGTTAGAAGCAATGTCAACCTCTCCAGCACCACTAGTCCTAGAGGTGAAGACAAGCCTTTTTGAGGGACTGTACAACCAGGAGGAGTTTAAGACTGTCTCAATAGTACCCCTAGGAACAGCTTTGCAATGAACTTGCACAGACACATATCCAAGTTTCTCACTGAGCAGGGTTTACAAATGTTCAAATTATTAATATTCTTTGTTCTCCAAGAACTACCACCAAGCCATTTTCTACTACATAAAAGTCTATACCCCTTAAAGTATCTTCCAAAGCCTAGGCTTCTCCATAGGTCTCCCCCCCCCCAAAAAAAAATAATCAGACTTGACATTTGAGAGTGATATCTATATATCTAATAGCCAAGTTGCCCCCTGAGTGCGGATCGCTAAATCAGCGCTCCAGGGGCACTTGGGGGGGAGGGGGAGGTTTGTGGACACGTGGGCCAGTCCCCACGTGTGCACAAAAATCGAAAAAGTTGAAAAAAAATTCGGGGGATGTTTAAATCCCCCCGAAAGTGACAGAGCGCTCCCTGCGCATGCGCAGGGAATGCTCTGTAGCTGGCCTCGCCGCCGCCTCCGCCGCCGCCGCGGAGCCCAGCCAGGTCGGAGCCGGGCGGGGTGGGGGGTGGAGGACCGGCCTCGCCGCCGCAGCCTCGGGGAGATTGAGGGGGGGATGGAGGAGACGGAGCTCTTCTCCCCCCTGCGAGTATCGCAGGTCCCCCTCTTGTCTGTTCACTAAACTAAAAAAAATGTTCTTTTACATTGTAGCCACAGTTGTTGCCCTTGCTCAAATTTTAAAAAGATTATTCCCACAATGAACAAGTTACATTAGCTAGGTCAAAGACTTCGAGGGAAACATGTTCTTAGGACACTTTCAGAAATGATGTTGAAGCAAAACCATTGGCCTACAGGAGAAATAGGTAACGCTATGGCCCGACCTGGGTAGCCCAGGCCAGCCCGCTCTCATCAGATCTTGGAAGCTAAACACGGTCCGCCATGGCCGGTATTTGGACGGGAGACCACCAAAGAACACCAGGTCACAATGCCGAGGCAGGCAATGGCAAACCACCTCTCTGAACCTCTGTTGCCTTGAAAACCCCACAAGGGATCACCATAAATCAGATGTGACTTGATGGCAACAAAGAGAGGCCTTATGCCCCTCCCCCCCCAATTTGTAAGGAACAGTTTCCAAGAAGAGAGTAGAACCGGCCACCTCGTTTCAACCTAGGAGCATGTATTCGCTTCCATGCAACAATTAAAATTGAAATGAATGCTTCTAGTTGTGACTAGGCATGCTTAGAATAAAACTGCAAAGTCTGTGCCAGCAAGGCTCAGATCGACTTCCACCTTTCCCAATTCAATATAAATTGTAAAATCTGCAGAGTCTACAATGTACATGCAGCTTTGGAAGGCCTTTGTTCTGCTTTCTATTACACATCAGCATTCATGTGCATGATACAAGAGGCTTAAAGGCACTCTTAGCATCATGTGTGAAAATGCCTCTAGAAGGAAGCACATAGCCCGGCCACTGTAAGAACGACTATAAACCAGTCTACAAAGTACAGTACACTATGGCTGTGTAACACTGCCATCTAATGGAAAAATTAGTAAGAGCCTGTGGCAGAGTGAAATGTAAACAGCTGCCTGTGTGCACGAAGTTGCCCTAGCCTTTAACATGCACTCGCTTCAAGAATAATTCTGCTGAAACAAAAAGCATGGAGAACCAAGACTCTACTGACTTGTTAAATATTCACTTGCCCTACTTGGATGTGTTCAAATATCAAACCTTCTTAAATAAAAAAGGCAAATCTTCTATGAAGCCACCACAGAGGGCTTGATTTTATTTAATTATGTTATAATTTATGAGCAAGAGCAGAATTAGGAGGCCTGCTTCTTCCTAGTCCTCCAACAGACAGGAGCAGAGATAGAAAAAACTGAGTCAAGCAAAAAATATGATTTTTGTTAATGCTGCATTACAGAGGTCCCCAACTTTGTTAAGCATGTTGGGACTTCTACAATTTTGAGAGCACTGACTGGGCACCACTGAACAGCTGCCATAGCAGCTGGGGTCAACAACAAACTATTGGGAAGCTCCAAAACAAATACCCTCCTGTGAGGAATACAGCTATTTCTGAATGTTTTCTCCCTGCAGACATTAAGGTGGACTCTTCAGAAGCAGATACTACTCCCAAAAAATAGAGGAAGACAGGATTAGATCTGTGCTTTGGGCAAAGGAGGAAGCAGGCATCAGCAAACACTTTGGTGGCCCACAGGTTGGGAATGACTGTTATAGCACCTCCAGCCCTGTATTAATTTATGAAAATAGTTATAGCCACCTTTACTCATGATTCAAGGTGCCTTACAAGTGACAATGTAAAACACCACAATTTAAAACCAACAAAATAAAACTTCAGACAAGTCTCTCCTCAAAGATGCCTGCAGTTTATAGCCCATTAAATGCCTTGGCAAATAAATGGCATCGCAGAACCTCCTGAAAATTTCTGAAGATGGCACTCCTTTCACTTCCTCAGGCAGCCAGTTCCAAGTGGGAGCTACAATGGAAAGGGCTCTAGCTGATACCAGGAGGCCTGCCTTAAGTAGGAGAAAAGCTGGTAGGTGGCAGCCTGAAGACCACAGGGACATATGGAAGGAGAC